CATCACCGGATCTGAAGATGGAGGAGAGCCTCATTGTTGGACCCATGTCTGTGAAGGGCGAGTGAATAGCCCAGAAGCAGAGACTGTCTAGATCCTGTGCCAGGCCTAGTGTATGTGGATTCTGAGCAAGAGCCCCGCCATTATGGAGGGGGAGGTCTGTGTTTCCTTGGGGCGGAAGCGGGGGCTAAGTTCTCCCCGTGAGGGGCAAGGATCCAGGGAGCAGAGGACTCTTGGCTCAGCCTGGTTGTCTTAAGAAGAGAACTGGATGCAGGTTTCTTGCCAGTGGGGTTCCCCAGCCCTGGGGATATCCGGTTGGTTGAGGACAGCCGTCGGCTGATACCTTGCTCAGTTTTCCATGCTTGTGTCGTAGTCGTTAAGTGCACAGACTCTAATCTGGGAGAACCGGGTTTGATTCCCCACTCCTCCACTTGCAGCTGCTGGATGACCTTGGGCAAGCTGTAGTTCTGATAAGAGCTGTTCTTGCCAGGGGCACCTTTCAGGCCGACGAAGTTTAATTCTGGGGAGAAGCTTTTGTGTGTGTGCACACTTTTTGGAATTGTAGAATCGCAGAGTCGGAAGGGGCCATACGGGCCATCTAGTTCTCCCCCCTGCTCAATAAAGGTCTTAAATAAAACGAGGAGGGGGCACGCAGCACCTTGTGTTTGCTGGCTGCATTGTGGAGGGAGGGATACCCCCTCTTGTCAGGGTCGCGGTGGGCAGCTACGTCTCCACAGATCTCTTTCTCGCCCATCACCGGATCTGAAGATGGAGGAGAGCTCTAATCTTGTTTGATTCCCCACTCCTCCACTTGCACCTGCTGGATGACCTTGGGCAAGCCACAGTTCTGATAAAAGCTGTTCTTGAAAAAAGAGCCGTTCCTGTCAAGAGCTCTCTCAGTCCCGCCTACCTCACAGGGTGTCTGTTGTGGGGAGGGGAAGGAAAGCAGTTTGTAAGCCGCTCTGAGACACCTTTGGGTAGTGAAGGGCGGGGCATAAATCCAATCTCCTCTTCTTCTTCTTCTTCCCCTGCCTGCGAAACAGCCGGCAGTCTGTAATAGGGGAATGATTTAAGTCTAAGGATTATTACTCACCATCTGATTTTTAATGTAATTTAATACGTTCAATGGTTTTATTTGGTGATTGTTTTTAATATCATGTACCTCGCCCAGAGCCCTATGATAGTAGGGATTGGGCAATTCACAAATCTAATAATAATTAGCAACTGGCCAGGGGAACAGGTCTGTTCCTAGATCCTTGATCTATAGGAATTTGCAGGCACCCCTTTTGTGCAGTGTGCAGGTGACTTCCTTTCCCCCTGCTGATCTCTGCACTCTGCACATTGCCGCCACAACATGGGACTGGGCGTGTTTCTGGAAAGCCTGCTGCAGTGTAGAATTCCAAGGCGTTTATGAAAAGGGGCAGAATTTTCAGCGCGTGTTTAGGAGTCCAGTGCCTGCTGAAGGGTCAGAGCGCTAAGAGGGTGTTTCGGGAGCGGGCACCTGAGCCAGTGAGCTAATGCCACCTCCAGTGTTCCCTCTAAGCTGAGTTAACATAAGAACACAAGAGACGCCAACGCTTTGTCTTAGCTCAGGAAGGATGGGGCTCCAGAGCCAACGAATCTATGCAGTAGCCAAATTGCCGGCTCACACTTTGAATGCCAGTAGCTCACAAAGTAGGATTTTTGCTCACAAGACCCCACAGCTTAGAGGGAGCATTGGGCCAACCTCCTGCCGCCTTGGGGGGGGTGCGAGAGAGAGTACCTGAGGGGGTTTGCCTGGGTGTTGCTTTCTTGTGTGCTCACGCGCTTCTCCTCCCGTTTTTGTCCCTTGCAGGCGAAACCGGCCGGCGTCTTTGAGCTCCAGGTGCATTCCTTCACCACAAGCAGCCCCCGGAGCTGGTGCCGCGGCGCCCACCCCTGCCGCCTCTTCTTCCGCGTCTGCCTCAAGCACGCCCAGGCGGTGTGTCGCCGCAACCCCCCTGCACCTACGGGGCAGCCCTGAGCGACATTGTCCCAGCTGACCGCAGTGTCGTGGCCACCAGCGGACCCATCCGTGTCCCCTTCCACTTCAAGTGGCCGGTGAGGTCCTTTCCAGGCCAGGGTCCCGCTCCCTCCAGACATCTTGGTTTAGATCCAGGCCTTTCCCTGGCCCTTTCTTTCCCTTTCCGACATCTTACTCTTTAATTCTCTGACTGAGTTTCCCACAGGGGACACGCCCTGGCTAGTGCCGTGGGGCTGCGGAGTTGGGGGTGACTCATGCGCACGTGCCTGTCCTAGAGATATAAAGACCCGGAAAAATTCGAAGCTCACAAATTTTTGTCTTCGCTCAGGAAGGAGGGCTCCAGAGCAGACTAATTTGTGCAGCAGCCAAATCGCTCGCTCACAACTTGAATGCCGGTAGCTCACAAAGTAGGATTTTTGCTCACAAGACTCCACAGCTTAGAGGGAGCGTTGGCCACCTCCTGGTGCCTTGGGGGGGCGGGTGCGAGAGAGAGAGACCCGGAGGGGGTTTGCCTGGGTGCTGCTTTCTTGTGTGCTCACACGCTTCTTCTCCCGTTTTTGTCCCTTGCAGGCGAAACCGGCCGGCGTCTTTGAGCTCCAGGTGCATTCCTTCCCCACAAGCAGCCCCCGGAGCTGGTGCCGCGGCGCCCACCCCTGCCGCCTCTTCTTCCGCGTCTGCCTCAAGCACGCCCAGGCGGTGGTGTCGCCGGAACCCCCCTGCACCTTCGGGGCAGCCCTGAGCGACATTGTCCCAGCTGACCGCAGTGTCGTGGCCACCAGCGGACCCATCCGTGTCCCCTTCCACTTCAAGTGGCCGGTGAGGTCCTTTCCAGGCCAGGGTCCCGCTCTATGACTATGGACATTTTTACTTGGCATGAAATTATCAGAACTAGCATATTAAAAATATAGTGTATCGAAACAATCATTACAAACAGAATACCCGCCCACATGCAACAACAAAACTGAAAAGAAAAAGGTCCCATGTTGTGGCGGCAATGTGCAGAGTCACCACAGAGGGGAAAAGGAAGTCACCTGCACACTGCACAAAAGGGGTGCCTGCAAATTCCTATAGATCAAGGATCTAGGAACAGACCTGTTTTGGTCAGTTGCTAATTATTATTATTAGATTTGTGAATTGCCCGATCCCTACTATCATAGGGCTCTGGGCAAGGTACATAATATTAAAAACAATCACCCAAAACCCCCCCGGGGGGGGGGGAACCTGGGTTTTTTTCCCGAGCTTCAAAATTTCCGGAAATTTTACATCTCTAGTCCTTATATCACATGGTTGATGGATTCCCACCAGTGTTCCCTCTAAGCTGAGTTAGTGTGAGCTAGCTCACAGTTTGTTAGCCTCTAGCTCATACCTTTTTGTTTTCACTCAGGGAGGATGGGGCTCCAGAGCAAACTAATGTATGCAGCAGCCAAATCTCTCGCTCACCACTTTAATGCCAGTAGCTCATAAAGTAGAATTTTTGGCTCACAAGACTCCACGGCTTCCCACCGCAGCGGTACCTGTTTATCTTCAAAAGGGAATTAGATAGGCGTATGGAGCAGAGGTCCATCAGTGGCTCTTAGCCACAAGGTATAGATAGGGGCTCTGGGGCAAGGGATGCTCTGTCTTCTTGGTGCTTGGGGGGGTCAACAGTGGGAGGGCTTCTAATGCCCTGGCCCCACTGGTGGACCTCCTGGTGGCACCTGGTGTTTCTGGCCACTGTGTGACAGAGTGTTGGACTAGATGGGCCTTTGGCCTGATCCAACATTGGCGTCTTTTATGTTCTTATGTTATCTACTTGCAATTTCTTGCTCACTCCGTCATGTGGCACTCGGGTCTTGAACTGCCGAACTACCGACCTTCTGCTCTTCAGTTCAGCATCTTAACTACTTGAGCCACTGCAGCCCTGTATTAGACCTTGTAAGGTAAAGGTAAAGGTTCCCTTGCCCGAAAGCCAGTCGAGTCCGACTCTAGGGTTGCGGTGCTCATCTCCGTTTCCAAACCGAAGAGCCAGCGCTGTCCGGAGACGTTTCCATGGTCATGTGGCCAGCATGACTAAACACCAAGGCGCACGGAACGCTGTTCCCTTCCCACCGAAGTGGTACCTATTTATCTACTTGCAGTTTCTTGCTTTCGAACTGCTAGGTTGGCAGGAGCTGGAACTAGAGACGGGAGCTCACTCCGTCATGCGGCACACTCAGGTCTCGAACTGCTGAGCTACCGTCCTTCCAAAAGCCTCAGATATCCTGGACCAGAGGTCACATTAAGAGCAACACTTAGGATTGTGTACCCAGAGAGACTTATTTGGGCGCCAGTGTCATTATTTGAATTAATTTTGTCTCTCCCCCTCCCCCAGTCCCCCATATTTCCCACTTATTTTCTTTCTCCTTCCCTCCTTCTGTCTAGGGGACCTTTTCCCTAATCATTGAGTCTTGGAGGGCAGACTCAGGCGAGCCATCCACAGGTAAGCGACGCATTAAAATATATATTTTTGTTTGTATACACACCACACAGATACAAAAAAAATGTTTTTCAAGCTTGCCATGTGTTGTCACTCTTCATCCTACAACAGCCCTGCAAAGTAGGCTGGTATTTTCCACACAAAGAGCAACAACACCCCACCTAAAGATGGCTGCCACCACCAGAAAAATATCCCCAAGTGGCAGTTTTGTTCTTCCCAGGAAGGTGTACTGTCAGTCCCCCTTTTGCCTAAGGCATATTACACAACACTCCAGGTTTGAGCTTTGCACTGTGGCCATCCCAGGCCTCAGGTTGCCAAGGTCCAGGTGTGTCAAACAAAGAATATATACACTGCAAAAACCTTATTTTAAGTGTTCTATATGTTCCATCTTATAAAGTGCATTGTGTATTATTCATAATATTCTAAAACAGGTATATATTCTTTACATGCAATATCAACAATAATAATCCGTTTGTACAATCTAATAGCTACCAGTCAATTTACATCCTTTTTACACGATCAACCCCAATGGGAGTTTCTAGAATTGTACACCCGCTTCTCCTTGCTTGAAAGTCTTCTAAAGGGGGAAGTTTCCTTTTGTGGTTACATTGACGTTTAAATTGATGTTTGCTGCTGGTCCTACAAAAGGCCCATTAAGCAGCTGACAGGAGAAAGACAGGAGCGCTCCGTCTATGATTGTCAGCTGCTTAATGGGCCTTTTGGAGGACCAGCAATAAACATCAATTTAAACTTCCTTCCTTCCTTCCTTTCTGCACAGATCTGTGCATTCCCTCCCCCCAGCTAGCAATCCAAAACAGTCCAGTGGCACCTTTAAGGCCAAGGTTTATTCAGGTACAAGCTCTCCCTCCTCTGTGAGGACAGAGCCGCACGCCCCCCCCCCCCCAATAGCTAGCAATCCAAAACAGTCCAGTGGAGCCTGAGCGGTGGGTGTTGCCTTCTGACACACTCCCGGTGATGGCAGGGGGCGTGGCATATGCAAATGAGTTGTGCTAATGAGTTGTGCTAATGAGCTCCTGCACCTCTTTTCCTACCAAATGACCCCTGCTCATAGTTAACTGTCTGGGTCCCTGTTTGTGTTTGGTATGTTGTGTGTTAATGTTTTTATTGAATTATTTTAAAATGTTATGTTTTTAGAGTCCTGTGGCACCTTTAAGACCAACAAAGTTTTATTTTGAGCATACGCTTTCGTGTGCACTGGACTCAGACCCTGTTCTGTTGCTTCAGAGCAACCAACAGACCAAGGCATCCTGAATCTAAAATCGTATGCGGAAGGTCCCAGTTCCAATCCTTAGCGTCTCCAGTTAGAAGGGTGGGGATGGGGTTGAGACCAAGGCCTTTTTACCTGCTATCATCGACAGCTGCTACCCGTCACCGTAGACTGTTTGGTGCAGTGGTTGAGAGCAGCGGACTCTAATCTGGAGATCCGGGTTTGATCCCCCACTTCTCCACATGCAGCCAGCTGGGTGACCTTGGGTCAGTCACAAGTTCTCCCAGAGGTCTCAGCCCCACCTACCTCACAGAGGGTGTGTTCAGACGCGCCGTTTGATCTGGTGTCGTCACGCTTCAGTAACGGATTTTATCTGCACGATCACACGGTCAACATCTGACTCCCCTCCTCCAGCCGTTGTTTTCCGGCTCAAAACCACTTTTACCCGGAGTATTTCGTTGTTGTTGTTGTTCAGTCGCACAGTCGAGTCCTTCAGTGGTCTGATCCAGCAGGGCACTTCTGACGTTCTTGTGAAACCTCGGACTCTGTTGTTGGCCCTCCAGAGGAACTGGTTGGCCCCTGGGTGAGACAAGATGCTGGACTGGATGGACCTTCAGTGGTCTGATCCAGCAGGGCACTTCTGACGTTCTTGTGAAACCTCGGACTCTGTTGTTGGCCCTCCAGAGGAACTGGTTGGCCCCTGGGTGAGACAAGATGCTGGACTGGATGGACCTTCAGTGGTCTGACCCAGCAGGGCTCTTCTGAGGTTCTTATGTCTCCTTCTGTGTGTCCCTGTGGGCCAACTACAGTTCCCAGGCAGCCATCTGTTGAGTGTCCCACCCGTTGGGGTGTCCCTGCTGCCACTGCCCAGAGCCCAGGCCGTTCCCACCTGAGGAAGGGGCTCCCCGAAAAGATGAGGGGTGCCCTTTTTGGAGATCCTCAGGAGGAGGTGCCGGATCCGCATGTTTGCCAGGGCTTTGGAGGGGGGTGGGGGTGGAATGGCTGGCTTGTTCGAAGGAGGGGAGGGGAGATTTGAGGTTTGCTATTTTATTGGGGGTGTGTGTTAAATTAAAATGTTTTTAGCTATTATTGCAAGCCACCTTGGACCACGAGGAAAGGTGCAAATAATAGACTGGTGCTTGGAAGGCGCAGCAGGGAACACAGAAGCGAAAAGTTATCGTTTTGGGAAAACTGAACTTGGGTTCACAGTGAAGCTGGATCTTAGGGAAAACTTTCTGACAGTTGTGCCACCGTGGAATCGGCTGCCTGGGGAGGTGGCGAGCTCCCCCCCCCCAACCAGCAGTCTTCAAGCAGCGGCTGGACAAACACATCAGGGATGCTTTAGGCCTGGGGTGTCAAACTCATTTGTTACGAGGGCCGTTTCTGACATAAGCGAGACCTCGTTGGGCCGGGCCACGTGTGTCATAGAATGTAATTCCAGGCAGCGGAGATATAAACTTTATAAAGGACACAAACACAAAGGGTTTTTTTTTAAAAAAACTTAAAATAAAAACAAGCTTAAAACATGAGCACTCTTGCACTATTTTCTTTATTTAACCCTGTCTGATAACTGGCACCTCTCGCTCTGAATGACTGCATCAAAATGTCTGTGCTGTTGCAATCCTGAGTATGCTGTTCAGGTGTGTATCTGTAAGCTGCAAACCTACGATGACGCAGCAGCAGCAGAACTGGAAGAAGAAGCAGAAGACAGCCGGTTCTACTGCGGGCCTCATCTGGCCCCCTGGGCCGCATGTTTGACACCCCTGCTCTAGGCTGATCCCGCATTCAGCAGGGGGGTTAGACTAGATGGCCTCTGTGGCCTCTTCCAGCTCTGTAGTTCTATTATTTCTATGATTCTAGGCCTGCCGGGTAGCACCGTGGGAGGTTGCCGTTGCCCACTGGCCGTTTTGATAGGGATGTCAGCACAGACCTTAATCTCCGGGCCTTCCAAGGAGAATCCGTCGAGACTCTTGGGTCTTGACTAGAGAGGCGCCACCCTGGCCTGGGGCGGAGTACCTTTCCCTTTCCCCCCTCTGCTTCACGCCCTCCCTGACCGTAGTGTATTCAATAGCTGTCATTGAATGCCTAGACATGTATGCGAATCACCTCATAGAAAAGCAATGTTAAGCTTCGTCCTGGGCTAGGATCCTAATGCACCCAATCGCATGGCTAGCCCAGGAAGAACCAACCAATCGCACATCAGCAAGCTCCCTGAGCGGGAACGTCGATGATTGGTCCTTATGAAGACAATCTCATTGGCTGATAAATGTACAGTAAAGGTAAAGGTCTCCCTTGCTCGAAAGCCAGTCGAGTCCGACTCTAGGGTTGCGGTGCTCATCTCCGTTTCCAAGCCGAAGAGCCAGCGCTGTCCGAAGACGTTTCCGTGGTCATGTGGCCGGCATGACTAAACACCAAGGTGCACGGAATGCTGTTCCCTTCCCACCAAAGGGGTACCTGTTTAAGGTAAAGGTAAAAGTTTCCCCCTTGCTTGAAAGCCAGTTGAATCCAACTCTAGGGTTGCGGTGCTCATCTCCGTTTCCAAGCCGAAGAGCCAGCGCTGTCTGAAGACGTTTCCGTGGTCATGTGGCCGGCATGACTAAACACCAAGGTGCACAGAACACTGTTCCCTTCCCACCGAAGGGGTACCTGTATTAGCCGGGCGAGTTTTAAAAGCGAACCGCTTTAATGCAAAAGCTGTTCTGGCTACCTGACGTTGATCCGTGTTGGAGTTGTGTTCGAGTTGATGAATAAAGCTATCTCTCTGCTGAATCACTCTCCGACTTCGTTGTTAAGCGGGCGACTTAACACTGACTACCTGTTTCCCCCCCCCCTCCCAGAGGATGCCCAGAAGCTGATCAGCCGCCTGGCCACCCGCCGCCGCCTGGCCGTGGGCGAGGACTGGTCCCAAGACGTGCAGCTGGGAGACCAGAGCGAACTGCGCTACTCCTACCACGTCACCTGCGACGAACATTACTACGGGGAGAGCTGCTCCGACTACTGCCGGCCGCGGGACGACACCTTCGGGCACTACGCCTGCGACGAGCTGGGCAGCAGGATCTGCCTGGCGGGGTGGCGGGGCGAATACTGCTCGGAACGTAAGTAGCCTCGGAGGGGGACGGAGGCGGCGGCGGCCGCTGGAGTGTTGGGAGAGGGCGGTCCGGGTTCCGATTGGTAAAGCGTGAGCTTCCTTCCTTGCCAGGAGAGCCTAAGATTGTCCGGCAGTCAGACGTTCTAGCTCTTTTTTAGCATTATGCACCACTAGGTGGCGACGCTCCCTCTAAGCTGTGGAGCCTGGTGAGCCAAAATCCTACTTTGTGAGCTGCTGGCATTAAAGTGGTGAGCGAGCGGTTTGGCCGCTGCGTGAATCAGTTTGCTTCGGAGCCCTCCTTCCTGAGTGGAGACAAAAATCTGTGAGCCGGAGGCTAAAAAACTGTGAGCTGGATCACACTGACTCAGCTGAGAGGGGACACTGCTTAGAGGTACAGCTAGCTCTTCTGGAAATGTTCCCTACTTTGGCACCTGCCCTGGGTTTCCGGAAACCAGGCACGTCCCTTTCCCAGTTGGGCTTGTGCCTGGCAGGTGGGTCTCACTTAGAAATGGCTGCTGCTGGAGGAACAGGTAAGCTGTGAGCCTCCCTAAGGTGCAAGGCCTCATGCGAGGGAATGTGGGTCTTTCGACTGAAGGTTAAGGAAGGGGCCTTGGTTCAGTAGCAGAGCATCTGCTCGGAATGCAGACGGTCCCAGGTTCAATCCCCGGCATCTCCAGTTAAAAGGACCAGGCAGGAGGGGATGGGAAAGACCTCTGCCTGAGACCCTGGAGAGCTGTAAAGAGGGGCTGTGGCTCAGTGGAAGAGCCTCTGCCTGGCATGCAGGAGGTCCCAGGTTCAATCCCCGGCATCTCCAGTTAAAAAGGACCAGGCAGGAGGGGATGGGAAAGACCGCCGCCTGAGACCCTGG